TTTGAGGCCATGCCACGTTGAGCAATTCACAAATCATCCCCCACTTCGGAAGATCCTCACACTTTCGAGATTCTACAATCTGTAGCTAAGCACATAGACTGTACTAGCTCTCTTGTCTCCTTAACACATTGCTTTGTTCCTGATTAGTTTATGGTGTAATAGTCACCAACAGATGCTACAGTTAATAGCGTAACTTTATATCTCACTTGGGACCAGGATTCCTCCCTCGGGTAGTAGGGGTTCACTCCTTGGAGTGATTTTAGGGTGTATTTCAAAGGACGGGAAGGATTTCAGAGGAGTCTAGGATGAAATATAAGGTGGTAGTGTTGACACTTGACTTCCGGCTGGAATTTTAAACTTGAATGTTGGTTTTATTGCTGGAGGTATTATTAGCCCAATCCTTGGGGTTCAGGGACACCCCACCCCCGATGCTCCAAATATTTCTCTATGAAGTAGCTGACCTCTGACCCCACTCCCTCACTGAGCCTAACCAGCAGTGAGGCCTTTTCTTCAGATTCTCACAGGCAGGACTTTCTCCTCCGTGTTTCTCCGGACCTCAGAAATGACCCCATTGAAGACTGGAGATCAACATTCCGGCAAGTAGCAGAGCGGATGCAGAAGACGCAAGAGGAACAGGAAGCTTTTCTGCTCAATCCCGCCATTGGGGTAGGCCAGACTTTCTTTGCTCCATGCGCCTCTTCAAGCATGCAGGAATTGCTTGTCACTTGCTGGGAATCTTTGATCTTATGGCCCCTGTTCACAAATCCCCAAGGAATTTCATGTCAGCTCACATGTTTCCAATGAAGTCCTATTTTTTTCTTAACTCAAAATGTATTTTTTTTTATCTCTTTTTAACCGCGTTTCTCAGATTAGTAAGCAGTAAGCACTTCTAGACTTTAGAACAGTCTAGAAGAACTAGAACAGTCTGAAAGAGCTGGAACAGGTCAGAGAGTCTAGAACGGTTTCAAAAGAGCCTTTTGCTATCTATGAACAGACAGCCTCGACCACCCGCTGTTAGGTCTCATCTGGTCTCTTGCAGATTCACATGTCAAATATGGCTTTAAAAACCAGGATGCGATTTTATTAATTTTTTTGGGGGGATGCTTTTTATTTTTTTCCAGATGTGGTTTCTCTGTGTAGCTCAAGCTGTCCCAGAGCTCACTCTATAGACCAGCCTGGCCTTAAACTCACAGAGATTCACCTGCCTCTGCCTCCCGAGTGCTGGAATTAAAGGTATGCACCACTACAGCCTGACTCCCTACTTTTTCTTAACCAAAATTTTTGCTTCCTACCTCCCTTTGCCAGTAGTGGGCACATCTGAGCCCTTCCCCTTGATCTTCATGTGAGATAGGAAGGGAAATTCCATGGTGTGTATAGTTTGCTCTGGTCTCACATCTCATGTCTCATCCTGACTCTACTGGTTGGTTTTCTTGTTTGTTTGTTTGTTTCTTCAAAGCTTTATTTTTAAAATTATGTTTTAGGTGTGTGTGTGTGTGTGTGTGTGTGTGTGTGTGTGTGTGTGTGTGTATGTGTGTGTGTGTGTGCGCGCGCGCATGCATGCAGGTGACCATGGAGACCAGATGAGGGTATTAGTTTTCTTGAAGCAGAGTTACAGGAAGCTGTGAGCTTCCCAGTTGTAGGTACTGGGAACTGAACTCAGGTCCTCTGCAAGAGCGGTGAGCACTGTTAAGCCCTGGGCCATCTCCCCAGTCCTTAGTCTTCTGTTTTAATCACTGGTCATGTCATTTTCTTTGCTGCAGTCTTTGTGAGGTACTATGTCATAAATCTGTACCAGAGAGTGTCTGTTCCCTGTGTCTGTCCAGAGCATGGGAAATTTGGCACTAAGGAATGGCAGACTACCATAAGTCATGGTAGGGAAGGTTCTCAGAAAGAAAAATACTCTCTGGCTGGACAGTGGTGGCTCACATTTGTAATTCCAGCACTTGGAGGCAGAAGCAGGGGGACTCTCTTTGAGTTCGAGGCCAACCTGGTCTACAGAGTTCCAGGATAGTGAAGGCTATTACACAGAGAAACCCTGTCTTGAAAAAAAATGAAAGAAAGAAAGAAAGAAAGAAAGAAAGAAAACAAAAGAACAAGAACAAAACGTATTCTCTGAAAGCCCTTGACCCAGCTGACAAGAGACAGCACCCATCCTTATAAAACAGTCAAGGCCATTGGTAAAAAGATGTGCTCATGGCTCACTAATCAGAGTGAGCATCTAATGGGGACCACCAAACACGCTTGTGCCCAGGGATCCACACTCCATCCGAAGGATTACCAACACCTCTCCATGCTCAGGGGTCATGAACTGGAGAACTGGTAGACTCCTGGGTTGTTCTTTCTCCCAGTCAGTGTCCTTACCTCCTTAGCCCGAGAGGCTCAGTGGCTCTTCCCGGATGAAAGACGGGAGCGCCACCAAGATTCTGCTGGAAACCCTGCTGCTAGCGGCACATAGGACTGTGGACCAAGGTGTTGCAGCCTCTCAAAGGTATGGAGGAAGCAGACAAGCTGGGCATCAGATCCACACCATGGTGACACGGGGGAAGAAATGGGAGGTCCTAGCTCCTAAGACACATGCAGGCTAGAACCCAGCCTGCTGCGACTTCCTTTCCTTACCAGAGTCTCTGGCCCATTCTAGAATGCTCAAGTCCACCCTTCTCTTGGCTTTTGCTTTTCCCACTACAGCCCTTTTTAAAAATAGAATCCTTTCTGCTCTTATTAACAGGGATCTTTCTTCCTCCTCCTTCCCCTGCTTTCCTCCAGAATGAACTAGCAAAACTTTTTTAAAAATGGGAATTGTGGCATCCCCTAGGTGTGGGTAGGAGTACCAAGCTCTTTTCTGGGGCGGGGCACACCAGGTCCTTCTTGGGAGCTAGTGAATTTTTTTCCAGATGCCTTCTGGAAATCCTGAGGACATTTGAGCGGGCTCATCAGGTGACCTATAGTCAAAGTTCCAAAATTGCCACCCTGATGAAGCAAGTCAGCACCAGGTATGTGATTGTGTGTTTGCAGAGGATATCTTGAGAGCAGGGGACACTCTGTGAGATGTGCTAGCGTGGCAAGGGTGATAGGTCTACACGTTGGAAGGTCTTAGGTGTATTTACTTTCGTGTTATTCTGCGGCCTCTTTTCACGGTGATCATTTGTGTCCTGGCCTCTAGCTCATTCTCAGCCTGGAGAAGAAGGGCCGAGTGTACTTAGTTGGCTGGCAGACCCTCGGCATCATCGCCATCATGGATGGAGTAGAGTGCATTTACACCTTCGGTGCTGGTAGGCTCAAGTCCTGATGCTCTTCCAGAGCCAACGCATCCCCGCCAATTGGGATACATTAGCAAAGCATTTTCTTGCAACCCCCGCCCTCACCAAGGTTCTCCAGTGCCCGCCCATTTTGTCCTACATAAACAGGCTTTTCAGTCAAATGCTTTCTTCACTTGAAGCTCCAAATGCCACCTCGGTCCTTGATCTCTCAGGTCCCACCCCAGTGCTTTAACTGTAGCTTCCCACACGGGTTACTACCACTCACTCCACATCCCACTTCCTGACCCCATGACAGCCCTTGGAGTAGAACCTTCCTATCCTCCAAAGCCCACCGTTCTTTTCTCTCTCATCTTAAATTTCCCAGATTTCCAAGATATCCGTGGCTTTCTCATGGGTGACCACAATGGCATGTTTAACCAGAAGGCAGAGCTCACCAACCAGGTCGGAAGAGGACAGGACTTGGGAAGCTGTAGAACTCATGGGTGTGCAGAGGGCCGTAGAGGAGTGGGGGCTGGGATGGAGGGAGGACAGGTGGAGGGTGTAAACAGTCCTGAGACGGAATGTAGGTCAGAGGTCCTGGAGCCTCAAAGCGCTGCAGTATGGAAGGCTCTGAATTTACCCTCGAAAACTCGGCTTTAGTCTATTGACCTGCTACATCACCTTTGGTAAAATGCTACCATTTTGAACACTGATTCTTTTCAAGTAAAATCCAAAGGGCTGTAATAGATGTCCTCCTATGATCCCCTTCAGTCTTCAAGTCTGTGCTCTTGAGCATCCTTCTTCTGCCCCAGGGTCCCCAGTTCACTTTCTCCCAGGAGGACTTCCTGACGGCCATTCTGCCATTCCTCGTGGAAACTGACACCGTGGTCTTCATTTTCACCCTGGATGGTGAGAGGGAAGATGGGACCAGTGGACTGAAAGCAGCAGTGGTTTAGAGGGGCTGCCACTCTGAGTCTCAGGGTGCCTTGTCAGAGGGAGGGTATCTTAGTTAGGGTTGCTATTGTGATAAACACCATGACCAAAACCAACTTGGATGGGGAAGGTTTTTTGTTTTTGTTTTGTTAGCCTTACAGTTTATAAGTCTATCACTGAGGGAAGTCAGGGCAGGATCCTAGAGACCAGACCCAGAGCAGAATCCACGGATGAATGCTACTTACTGTCTGCTCCTCATGACTTGCCCAGTCTGCTTTCTTATTGCCCTCAGGACCACCAGCTCAGGGATAGCACCAT